AACACGTCAGCCAAGAGAGAAATGTTTGCAAAGAGAGAAAAGGAGCAGAACAAACAGGAGGATTTCGCAAAGTTAGATAGCAATGTAATCGTAAACAAAGCGCTCATAAATGACAACTATGACAAAGCCAAAATGGCACTCGAAGAGATCATCTCAGAAAGGGAGAGGAGGAAGAATAAATTAACAGAAGCAGATGCAAATCCACAGTTAGATGAGAAAGTTTGCAGTGAAAGTTATACAGCAAGGGCACAGCAAAGTAAAAACTCTACAAAAGATGCTATCACAGTGAGGAGAGAAAAAGAAAATGACAGCACTTCTGTGCTTAAAGAAAAGGAACTAAAAGAAATGTTGAGTGATCTGAGAGACCACAATCACCTGAGACAGATTTTGGCACAGACTGAACCTAGACTTGGAGAATCACACAGATCAGGCGGTAGGGTAGCACTACCTGGCTTGAACAAGATTAGCAGTGAGGTGAACACACTCCAAAAATCTACAGGCAGACATTTGAATGACAAACTTACCGATCGTTCTAGTCACGATAATCCAGAGGCTAATTCAAAACAAGTTGCTAGACAGGTGTCTGAGGATAGCGGAGATTCCCTGATGAATGAAACTGTAGGCAGCAAAGTCGACACTCCTCCTGTTCCTCCTAGGATCAAAAAAGGTGGTAATAGGAGACGTGGAAGCGTCGCTAGCGAGAAAGACTCTGTGGATGAAAATGTCTGCAACAAAGATGGGAGATATGAAAATCTTGAGGTACACCATAACGCAACGGGGAAAGATTTAGCTGTACAAGAGGTAAATACTGATTATGCGGTGCCCAGTCAGAGTGAAATCAGCTCCAGTAACGAGAGGTGGAATTTGGAGGAAAGTCTGATATCATCACAATTCAGTGCAACTTGCAACAACTTGCACATAAATATGAGCCCAAGGAGTGCATCAGCTGAAAACAATGCTGCTAAGGCACAAGAGGCATGCAGGATAAAGCGAAAGGCCCCATTAAAACCAGATCATTTAATCACAGCAGATGGGACGGTGACTAAGAATGTAGTAATGGATGAAGAACCTACGAAAATACATGAACCGATTGAGGATAAAAATGTGGATTCAGAAGCTCATAGCGAAATCCCCAGAGACATAATATCGCCCTTGCTGCTGGTGAATGGTGTTAGTGTAACTCAGAGCCCGCCCGATCAGGCCAGCTTGTCCTCGAAATCCTCGTACTTCTCTGTGGAGAGCACACTCCAAAACTGTGAAAATGTAACTGAAGAGGTGAAGGTGGTTAACGAGGCAGTGCGAAATGTTTCGCGGAACACAAGAGGCGATTCGGACAGGGCAGAAGTGGAATATTATTCTTTAAGTGATCACGAAAGCGAGCCAGATGCTATAAAGCAACCCGTAAAGTCTCCTCAACAAGAGCTGGAAGTATTGAAGGCCAGCAAAGAGAGAGAAAATGCAGATACAGATGAAAGATTAAGTAACAATGAAAGTAATTCAGCAACTCTGTCACCTGTTAATACTTTCTCACCGACCTTGGGGATCCCTTCCCTGTTTAAAGTCAAAGACAACACTTTTAGTAACAAATTAAGGAAGACCATACAACCCTGGTCACCCAGAGGGAGTCTGAGTGGTTCAGAGAGGGGAGAGGATGAGCTACATCATGCAAAGGAATGTCCAGAGCTCACACTGGCTAATGAATCCAGTGCTACCACCAGTGGGAGGGCCGTAATTCTAGCAGACATTCTTACGCCTACAGAGATGACATCGATTCAGTCAGCACCCCAGCTGGTTTATCCTTCAGATCTTCAAGATGAAAACCCACAGAAGTCACAAGCTGGAGGGTTCCTCACTGTGCCACAGGAGGAAGACAGATTTTCCGGGTTAAGCCCATCATCAGAAGGAGTGGAAAGTCTAACCACCAGCACAGCTGACACATCTGAGGAGACGGTGTTAAACGCTGGGCTGACAGAATATGATACGACAATGGAGTTCAGCCAAAGTGGCGGTGATAATGAAAGCCAAACAGGTCTGCTGAAGCCACCGCCCGTCCTACCTAAATCGGAAAAGGCAGTTCTAAAAGCAATCAAGCTTGCAAATAGAAGGATAAAGAAAGAAGAGGCCCAAAAGTCACCTCACAGGTCTTCTCAAAGCAGCAGCAACAGTAGCAAACACAGAGCAGAAAGACACAAGGCTGATAAGTCTGAGCACAAAAGCAGCACTGGTAACAGAAATGGCAGGAGGAGCGAGAAAGAACACAGAGGAAAAATTGAGGACGATCACAGCAGAAGCCACCATAGTAAAAACAGCAACAGCCAGTGTGAGCAACTGCTAAACAAGAAAGAAAGTCCCACCTGCAACAAATCAGAAGTCAAGCATGAGACTCTGAGACAGGATCACGAATCATTGGAAAGTAACAACCAGAGGAGAGAAGCCCTACCCAGTATGGCATCGGAAAGACAAGGCCGCAGCAGCCGCAGACACACTGGAGATAAGACAGAGCAAAGACATTGCAGTAGCGACAGGATCATCAGTAACGTGCCCGTCTACAAAGCTCACATCAGTGAGAAACAAGTGCCAGACAGGGCTTTGCATCGAACACAAAGCACTGACCGGCATTTAGGAGATAGAGCCGAGCGCAGACTCAGCGCCGACATGCCGGTCAATGAGAAGCTTGATCCCAGAACCCAACGCATTGAGAAATCCATCATGGATGAGCTTCAGCAGAGAGGCCGAGCCAGAAACAAGTCTAACAGAGACAACCCTCTGAGACGGAGCCACAGTACTGATGCATATGCCACTGAAGTACCTCGCCCTTCACCCCTATCCCGCCAATCAAGCCACACCAGCCAGCTGTCTCGACAATCTAGCATGGAGCATGCTATCGTTACGCAGTCCTTCCCCATGACCCACCGTAAGCTGCTCCAGGATCCAGACTCAGGACAGTATTTTTTTGTAGACGTGCCTGTACAAGTCAAGACGAAAACCTTCTTTGATCCTGAAACAGGAAGCTATGTGCAGCTGCCAGTCCAGCCACCAGAAGGTGCTGTCCCTAAGGCATCCCCTATGGAGGTCTTGAGCCCTCCTTTGGTTGTTTACCATGGCTTTGTCCCAGTGCCTCTGTCGCCCATGGCTCCGAAAGCTACAATTCAGGCACCTCATTTGGAACCAGAGGACTTTGAGCAGAGGAATATAGAGAGATCAATGCAAATGTACTGTAAAGATGCACATCCATATTTGGAACCTCTCTATGGTCAGAACGAACACATGTTAGGGGAGTTCATAGGCACTGAGGAACTCGACTGTCCTAGCTGATGGGCCAGAGGGTTTAAAAGGAATGCTGTTTTGTATCACTGAATTGTGGTGTTTGTTGCATTCCAGGAGTTTTTTTTATTACACATTAACATTAAACACATTAAAACTCTTTCCCAACCAACTTTGCCTTCTTATACTATACCGGCATTTGACAGAAGGACTATTAAAAAGCAACAACACTGTAGTGATGGATCTTTCTCTGTTTGGTTGTTGAACGCTGGTACAAAACAGCAATCCCAGAAGGAAATAATTGCTCTTGTAAATACTTTTTGTTGTACTGCTACATTTGGCCTGTTACAGACAGAATGAGGAAAAATGCACCACAAATGTTCCCAGGAATGTAAAGTTCATTGCCAATGCATATTTCAGGGCGTTTTTTTTCCCCCTTCAGTGTTGACTGTTTTTGCAGTTTAGATCTGTGATTGTGGTTTTGTTTTTCTTGCCTTCAATTTTCAGGAGGCACTGAAGTTGTGTTGGATTTGTAAAGCTACTGAAGCCATTAATGGCTTTGTGAAAAGAGAATGGCTTTTAGATGAGCATAACCTGACAAAAGATGACGACTTATTGGATGAATGATGTAGAATGTGCTAATTTAAATGTGGTTGAAAGGGTTTGCGTAAGATTTTTGAGTAAAATGGACATGGATGTTCCATGTACATAATGTATTTAAGTATAAACAGAGAGGGTGGGCTTCACTGTAAAATGTTTATTTATTGTAAATGCTGACAGTTTGTTATATACTACAGTTGTATTGGGTCTCCACAACTGTGTAGATATTGTAGCATTTCTTTTACTACCTGCAAGGTTTGTTGTCTTGAGAGTTCCTTTTTCACCAGACATATACAGTCATTTATCATTCGATATACTTGAACCAAATCTTATTGATTTTAACTATCTCCATACCACAACATTTTGGAAACCTTTGCATGCTAAAGTCCAAATTGCACATTTTGATTATGTTTGCATTTATACTGTCTGAAAGCTTCAACTGGTATTATTGGAATTCATGTTTTGTATGGAGAGGATATGAGGGAGAATTTGTTTTGCAAGTTTGTAGAATCAAGCAGGGCTGTCTTGTGTCTGTGATGCATTCCAATAAAAGAAAACAACTACTGTTATGGGTATTTGCTTTAAATTGGATTAGTGAATGGTTAGAGTACAGGCTGAACCGGCAACATAATGCCATAAGTGTTCTTTTAAAATAAGCTTTATTCATCAGTAACACACAGATTCATACAAACATATCTTTTGACTTCCTGTTTGGGGGACGAACTGCTCTTCGACCTGAGTCACAGCAGCACCACTGAACAGCCAGTCTTCTACCTTTTCTAATTATCCTCAGCGAAGTGTGCTGCTGTTTAACTTTCGTTTCTTTTTAGCCCAATCTCTCTCAATCTTCCTTGAGGGGCTGAGCCTTTTTCGCAGACTGCCTTTGTAAATAACAGTGAGTACTTTTGCCTGCTTAAATGAAGGTTACATTGACTTGTTGCACCATCTTTTGGCACAAAGTGGTATTGCACCAGCCATAGTTCAGCTTCTGTTACTTATGGAAGCTCATCTCTGCCAGCGGGGGGAAAATAAACAAAAGGAAAAAACTTTCTGAGTTAATAAGTAGAAATTTCACATAAATAATTTGAAATTCTGAGAAAATAATTAAAATTTTTGTTTTAATAAGTTGAAATTTCGAGTTGCCTCTGCCACTTGGGAAGATCTTTGAAGGATTTGAAGTCATTTCCTTGTCACCCAGAAGCAGGTGACATCGTTTACAGAGTTTTCTGATTGGCAGAGCAAACTCGGAATTTTGAGTTATTTTCTCAAAATTTCAACTTATATACTCAAAATCTCGAGATACCTAGCTCAACATTTACAGGTTACGCATGACATTTTTTTTTATTCCAGTGGCAGAAACAAGCTTCTGTAGACTCCCTTTAACACAATACACAAATGTATGGAGATACAGTGCAATCAAGTGTTTTTATGTTGACAGTTTAAGTAGACTGTTTCTAAAACACTGGAATTTACAAAAAGCAAATTTAAATAATTTTTATTTAAAACCACTGCAGTTGTCTTTAAAACTGTTTTATTAAATACAGCATCAAATATTAGTTTGTATTCTTTTTAAGCACATTAGCAGCTTCCAGCTTCACCTCTGTCCTACATACCTGCTGACCAATTTATGCTAAGACACCGAACAATAGCAAGAATGTTTCTGGGCACTGATGTGCTTCTTTTCTTTCCTATGTGCTCTAATATAATATAATACCATAAGAACTTGAAAACACAATGCAGGGTCTTTTAATTCCCCCCAGTTCATTCAGCATAGCCCCCCTGCTTTTAATAAAACACAAACATGTAACATTGTTTCTTACATTACAGAATCAGGTTGTAACAACTTGCATATTACTTTTTTTTTGGCCTTGAAATCAACATCCAGAGCTTTTTTTGTACATCACACTTTTTAAATTTTTGTATTTGTGTTTTTAAAAGAGATATATATATATATATAAAAAACTTTTGACACTGACTCATTACTCAGTCCAAATCCCCTTGTAAAACATTGATATGTGGTACTTAATAAATAATAGTCCCTGGAAATCATTTTCAATCAGTTTATCCAAATGTGTTTTTTTAAATAGCCAATTAAAAAATTAAGTTACTTTAAAATGTTGGAGTAGTTCTTTGCTTAAATGTAAAAATAGTTTTAATTTGATGTGCTCCTGAACTAAAACAATGAATACTTGAAAACATCACCTTTAATTGTAATTTTTGAGCATTTTAGTGGCAGCTACCACAGTCCGCTGAGAGACAATAAAAATTTAATTCCAAATAAAAAGTAATGATTTTGTAGGACGGACCACATGGGCTGGCTCAGCACCATGGACATATCAGTGTCACAGAAACATTCAAATTACACTCCAGAAGAAGAACCTGAAGTGGGCCTTTGGGCCACAATATAAACTATATAAACAATATTTTAAAAAAAATGGAGAACAACAACAGGCCATTGGACTTGCATCGTCAAAGGATTAGCGACGAGTAGCTATGAAATAGCTCTTTCAGTACCTCAGTGAATACCATCAAAAACACAGGAACTTAACCCTCACTGTTTCATGCCCATGTGTTGACCAGTGTTAAAGAATCCAGGAGACTCACAGGCAGCTAATGACAACCACAGCTTAACGCCATCATGTCGTCATACTGCTTTAAAACCACATTCTCCTCATCGTCAAAATACAACAGACTCATAGACTGGAGCGTGTCCGGCACGCAGCAGGGCGCTTCCACCTCATCGCTAGTAACCTTGAGTGCGTGCATGATAGAACGCACTGTGGCGTGGTTGGTCGCCCTGATGCCTACCCCCAGCGGGAACGGACAGGAGCCCGTACAGTGATAGGCATTGTATCCACGGGGAGAGATGATCCAGCCTGACCAGCCGATCTCCTCGAAGTCAACAAACAGAGAAATGCGCTGGCAGTGCTGGGAGCTGTCGAGGGGCATGACACTGGAAGATGCACGAGGCCTTCTGCTGCGGTGCTCGGGGGCAGCCGGTTCAGGTTGGGCTTGTCCTGTGATGAGGGTAGGATAGAAAATTATGACCATTTTTACATTTCGATCACCTGCCTAATATTGAGTCAGTTAGTCTGCTACCAAAACAGCCACTAGACCCCTGAAGGTGTGCTGTGGTATCAGCACCAACATGTTAGCAACAGATCCTTTTAAGTCCTGTAAGCATGGAGGTGTGGCCTCCATGGTTCGGACTAGTTTGTCCAGCACACCTCAGACACATGATTGGATTCATATCTGGGGAATTTTGAGGTCAAACTTGTTGTTGTGCTCCTCAAACCATTCCTGATCCGTTATTGCTTTGACGCAGCTGAAAGAAACCAGAGCAATCAGGGAATATTGTTTCCATGAAAGGGTGTACATGGTCTCCAGCAATTCTTAAGTAGGTGGGACATGTCAAGGTAACATCCACATAGATGGCAGAAACTAAGGCTTCCTAGCAGAACAAAACATCACATTGCCTATGCAGCGTTGCCTTCTTCCCATAGAGCATAGGGTTCCCTGGGTAAGAGACACACGCACCCTGCCATCCAAGTGATGTAAAAAAAACGTAATTCATCAGACCGGGCCACCTTCTTCCATTCACCATAGTCCAGTTCTGATGCTTGCATGCCCATTGTTGGTGCTTTTGACGGTGGACAGGGGTCAGCATGGCATGTGTATTCTGACAAAACCAGCATTAAATTTTTCAGCAATTTGAGCTACAGTGGCTCATGTGTTGGATCGACCACACCGGCTAACCTTCACTCCCTATGTGCATCAGTGAGCCTTCATCTCTCACGACCCCGTTGCTGGTTCCTTCTTTGGACCACTTTTAATAGATACTGACCACTGCAGAAAACAAAACTGCTGAGGATTAGACCCGGTCGTCTAACGATCACCATTTACTCGTCCTCAAATTCACTCAAATCTCACTTTGGCATTTAAATGACATAATGCTAGAACTTTACTCATTGATAAAAACTAAGCCGTATTATGTATAACGTACTGTAACTGCATTAAAATGGATCCACATGAACAGCACACAGTCAAGAGACGGGTTAAGTGAACAAACTGTATTGATCGGTCAACTGGTGCTAAGCAGACTAGCATGAGATGTGTAGATGCCTCACTTTTTTCCTTTCATGGTGATCATCTGCCCTGAGACTTGATTAGCCCAAGTCTAAAAGACAAAAACAAACAAAAAACCCCACCAAGCATGAAACCAAAGCCCAGATGAGTTGCAGGAGTCCAAATATTCCACTTGCAATTTGCTTAGAATTTCTTATTAAGTTAAAAATGGCAAAATCATCTTGCCTGCCTAAATCAATCACTGTTATAACAGAGGAAAGGTCACACTGTGCAACATGCCCACATCTCTCTCACCACCTTACCAAAGTATGACTGGTTTGATGCTCCTGTCTGTTTGTCGTGTGAGAATATGACCAGGTAGGCGCTTGTGTCTGTCAGCTCTACATTCTGTTTAGATGAATGCAACACCGACTCCATCCAGTTACCGGCAGGAAGTGTAGTCACCACCAGGATGCCGTTGTCCTCCTGACTGTTCTGGATCCACTTGGATACCTGACATTTAAAACAAGCATGACATCATCCCTCCAATCTAACACAAACCATGATCGTCATCATTATGAGACGTTTTTATTTGGAATTGATCATCTGACTTTTGAAATAATGACCAATGATTTAACTTAAAAGGAATTATTTTCTCACAACAAGCCTCAAACATTCATTTTAAACAAAGAAAATGAAGTTATGGATTTTTTTTTTACTATTTGAGTGACATTGAAGACTTCCCATCCTTGTGTGTATAGTGGAACCAATCTGGAGGTGATGAGATTTCCTCGCCATGGCTTCACAAGGTTCTCCAGCACCTCATACAGAGCCACCTGAAAAAAGAGAGGAAAAAACCCCACCACCAACAAACAAACAGAAACTATCACTATTTGTTTTCAAAAACGTCAGAATCCCTGTTAAAGGCCCACGATTATCAAATGCTGCAGACAAAGAAACCGGGCGAGTACACTTAGTAGTTAGTGCGCCAAAACATTTCCACAATGTTTCCTGTACAATATAAGAAAAAAGTGAAAATGATTTGTCTTTAAAAGCAAGCAAACAAGAAGCATTTACTTTGTAGAAATGAGGCGTGTGAAAGCTTCCGGGATAAAACTTCCTTTTCTTTCGGAACCAGCGGAACTGCGCTTTGATCATTCTCTCATCTCTGCCGAAAGATGACAAGTTGAAGAAGTGAAAACTCTCTCCAGGTTGTCCTGCAGACGACAAAACAATATAAAAATATTTAGAGAAATGATGAAACCATACACTGGAAAAGCGCAGGCTTTTAAACAGACACATATAGCCGTGCGCGATTGCGTCTTTACGCACTTATACGCATACTACTTCTTATTTTTGTGCGCCCTAGATGCAAACTCATTGGAAGATATTCTCGCGGAACAGCCGCTACTGTTGCTTCTCACCTTTATCGCTGAAACTCCGCACCGTGTTTCCTTCCAGAATGTCCGTCTGGCTTTTCGGGGTCCCATCCGTGACAGAAACCACGTTAAAAAGATCCAGCATGAACTGAGGAGCCTTCTTCTGAGGAGCCACCGCTGGTCTGGGGATATCCTTAAGATAGAAGAGACGATCCAGCTTCTGCCTGGCCATTTTCGTCGCGCCCAAACCGTCCTGCGGGATCGCCAGCGGGGTGACGCATCTTAGCAGCAGGAGAGCGAGGAGGCAGAGGCGCGGAGCTCGTGCCGTCATCTCCAGACTGGACTGAGCTCTACACCTGTGTGAGGGTAGGTAATAAATGAGGGGGTGCCCTTGTATTTAGCAAACAGTAAGAGGTGATTGGACCATGACTGATGACAAAACACAAAAAAAACCAAATACACAAAAGTATGGGTGGAAACGAGCAGAGATCCAGCTGTAAAGAAAAATAAACACACCACTAATTTGTCCGGCTTACTGTAGTTTACAAGACGCTCCTGTTCATTTGAAAAGTTAATTCAGACATGCTGTAATGCACGTTTTACGACAGATTGACCGCATGTGTTAAAATACGTTCAAATGTATTGAAGAGAATAACTTTCACGTATTTAGTATTACACCACTCGCCCTTCGGTGCCACCGTTTTATTCGCTGGACCAAATAAAATTATCCGATCATGATGTCTTGTCACCTTTGTCCCACGTCATGCGTTATCAGTATGAGGCCAGTCGCTGGAGAGCAAACGAACAACCGAGCCGTGACGCAAATGAAGCGCGTTTTCAAAAGCTGCCTGTTAACGCGGACGTTTTCACAAAAAACTCTGCCAGTGTTTGGACAGTGACTCAGAGTTAACAGCGTGACGTGTTTATTCCTCAATTAGGGCGAATCCCCGCTGACCTCTGATCAATCAAGTACAACAAAAGGGATCAAACTCTCGGGTTCGTCACGCTGATCGATGGCTCAATCTCCTCTCCCGTTGTTAATCAAATCTACGACCATTACACGGGAATGATGATCCCCCTCATTACTCACATTTAAGACCATGAAAGAAAACGTATCACTGAGTAGCCACCCAGTCAGATAAGCCTGAAAACAGACAAAAGCAAAAAAAGCAATAAAGACTGGCAACAAAGAGGATCAAATGATTGGATTTACTAAAACAAGACTTGGATTTAACTCAACTGCTTTGACTTCTTTTTAAACTGCTTTCTATAAAAAGGCAAAATTCATGTTTGGATATACAACCTTGTTTCCAAAGGGCTAGACAGGTGTGTAAAAACCTGAATGCAATAAACATAACTGAAAAGCTGTAGATTGCATAACTAGTTAGTTTCATTACTAGCTTGGAGATGGCAGCACTGACAAAAAAAATTGAGGTGAAAGAGGAAACATATATACATCAGAGGGTTAGAGCGGCAAGGTTGAGATGGTTTGGACATGTGTAGAGGAGGGTTAGTCACATATTGGACAAGGGATGCTGAATATTGAGCTGCCAGGCAGGAGGAAAAGAGGAAGATCTGAGAGAATATTTGTGGATGTAGTGAAGGAGGATATGGAGAGGGCTGATGTGACAGAAAAGAATGCTAGGGTGAGATGGAGGCAGATGATCTTCTGTGGCGAGCCCTGAAGGGAGCAGGATAGTATTAAAAGAGCCTCCCAGAGAAGCTCAATCTTTCAAAATGTAAGGTAGGGTGGTGTAATAGGAGCAATGGCTGTAATCTTAAAATTTCAAAGAAAGGTCAAGGTCAAGTTTATTTATATAGCACATTTCAAACAGCCGATGCTGCACAAAGTGCTTAAAAATATAAAAATGGCATTAAGAAGCAACAATGTAATCCAGTAATAACAATATAAAACAATAATAGGACAATGAAAGAATTAAAACAATAACTAAAACTATTTCCAATAAGACCAAAATGCTTGGGCCATAGTGTGTCAAAAGCCAGGGCATAAAAATGTGTCTTTAGTAATGATTTAAATTGCTCAAGTGTTTGTGCAGATCTAATATTTAAGGGGAGACTATTCCAAAATCTGGGACCTGCCACAGAGAAGGATCTATCACCACGAGATTTGAGATAAGTCCGTGGGATGGACCGCATTAATTTTGGGCTACACGTCATGGTTTTTCCTGGAGCATAAGCAGAGAGGAGCTCAGATAGGTAAGGAGGAGCTCGGGCGTTAAGTGACTTAAAAACAAAAAGTAAAAGTTTAAATTGGATCCCAAAGGAGACAGGAAGCCAGTGTAAAGAAGCTAAAACTGGGGTTATATGCTCTCTCCGTTTGGTACCAGTTAGCAGGCGAGCAGCTGCATTTTGAACCATCTGAAGACGATGGATGGTGGCCTGATCTAGACCATAATACAATGAATTGCAGTAGTTCAATCTGTAAGTAAGAAAAAGGTGAATAACACGTTCAAAGACGTTAGCCGGGAGGTATGGCTTTACCTTGGCTAGCTGTCTTAACTGAAAGAAGCAGGACTAAACTACTGCACTCACCTGCTTATTCAATTTAAAAGAACCATCAAAGTAGACACCGAGGTTTTTTATGGCAACCACTGTTTGTCATCGTCAAGACAGCGTAATAAGAGCTGGGGATGGTCTGACCCTGCTTTTAAAGGTAGATAAACTTGCAAATCATCAGCAAAACATTGAAATGAAATGCTGTACCGCGAGAAGATGGAGCCCAATGGCAACAAATAGAGTGCGAACAGGGCAGGACCCAAAATAGAGCCTTGAGGTACACTGTATTTAAGAGGGGTGGTTTTGGAGTTGTGGGGGCCCATATCAACATGAAAAGACCTTTCTGACAAGTAGGACCAAAACCACTGTAGGGCAGATCCTTTTAGGCCAGCATGAAATTCTAGCCATGATAACAGGATGTCATGGTCGACCATGTCAAAAGCAGAGCAACAATAAAAGGGCAGCAGGGCTGCCAGAGTCCAGAGTTAAAAGAATATTGTTAAAAATCCTTAAAAGTGCCATCGCGGTGCAATGAAGTGATTTAAAACCAGATTGAAATTTTTCAGAGATCATATTAAAGTCAAGGTGGGCCTGCAACTGTAAGTAGACCACTTTCTCCAAAACTTTAGACAGAAAAGGAAGCTTTGAGATTGGCCTGTAATTGGACAGAACAGTTGGGTCCAGGTTTTGTTTTTTAAGAAGAGGCTGAACTACAGCTTGTTTAAAGCATGATGGGACGCAGCCTGTAGCAAGGGACGTATTAATTAATCTCAGGATAAAAGGCCCAACAGTATTAAAAGTGCTTTTAAGCAAGCTTGGAGGGAGACAATCAGAGGGGCAGTGTGTAACTACCGCAGTCAAGTCATTAAGGGAGACGGGATCAAACTGCTCTAAGAGCACATAGGAGAAAGACTCGGATCTGAAGCAGCGGACGACGAGACAAGAGCCCTAATCGATAGAATCTTGTCATTAAAAAAATGCTAAAAAAATCATTGCAAATACTTGGTGGAGGAATGGCTCCGGCATTATCACGTGAACCTAAGAAAGCGATTAAGGACATTAAAAAGTACCTGAGGCCTGTGACTGTTTACTGACACTAAGTTTGAGACAAACTGTGTCTTTGCAGTTTTTACAGCTTCTTGGTGAGCAGAAAGACGAGTCCTTAAAATCTGTAGGGAAACGTGCAATCTGTCCTTTTTCCATCTCAGTTCGGCGGCGCGTCTGCAGTCGCGTATGTTCGTTCAACCATGGGTCTGATCATAGCTGGACTGGCCATCGGGCATACCGGGCATTTGCCCGGTGGGCCGCTGGCGATTTTTTGTTTTTATGGGCCGATCGATTTTTTTTTTGGAAGGGTATAAATAATGAAAGGTGTTGGATTGGCCAATTGGTCATGATCGACTCTGGGCTGGACCAATTACAGCCGAGGAGGTCGGATGCACCCTCCCCCTTGTTTAGCAATCTTATAGACGAACTAAAGAAAATGGAGAACAAAAAAAGGAAAGGAGGTGCAGAAAAAATTAGGGCCAAAAAGAAACAAGCCCTTCAGGCAGACGCTGCCAAATGTGTAAAAATAACTGAATTGTTTGGCGGTAGCTATGGCATAGCTTCCACAGATTTAGCAACATCAGCAAGTGGTGGAGGCCAGCAGGTGGATAAGGGAAAGGGGAGGCAAGAGGAGGAGAGACCGAGGCGGCCGCCGGTCATAGTGGCAGAGGAACTGAACTTCAGGTAAGAAGTTATGACCTGCTGTCTGTCTGTGTCAGATATAAACCAAGTTTAGTTGTAGTTTGTTTTCGTTGTGCTGACTTTTTACAGTCGCTTAGAATAACTGGTACTGCGTACTAGCTAGCATGACGGAGTTTATATACTGCTGGGCGGGTGCTATGAAGTTACTGATAGTAAATTTTATTTTATGCTTCAGGTTAGTTTCAAACTCCTCAAAATCTTAACAAATTGTGCCAATCCTTACATGTTGCACCAGGCTGATTTATCATCTAAAGTGGAGAAGTCTGTGACAGAGGAGACAGAAGAGCAGCAGAGAGAGATGGAGAGATGACTTCATGTCATCCATGAGGGATGCATTTGACATATGTTTCACATATTATAGCCCAACAAGTTACTCATAGCAATTTAAATACCAGCAATCAGTTTTTGGCAGACAATCACTTTTTGGCACAACACCGGCTATTGCAGTTAATAATACAACAGCTTCTTGCCATTTTTGTGTTTCTTTTTATCGCTTTGTAACTGAGCTCAATTGAAAGCCTGCATGCGCTAGTACCTCTTGCCACAAGTTCCCAGAATCCTTTGCGGTTTTACCCCTGAATGACGTCACATTTTTGGTGGGCCAGTCTCTAGTCAAAATGCCCGGGCCGATTTTTTGTCCCAGTCCAGCCCTGGGTCTGATAAATGCTTAGCGCGCAGTCCTGAGCGGAGCAATAGAGTCCAAGATATCAGTGCAGGAGGAATGAAGAATGTCCGAAAGGTCCTCAACACTTTTACAGTTGGAGTTCATTATTCCAGAATCCATAAAGGCAGCAGAAAAAGCGGCGCTGTTAGAGCATTAAGCGCTCGCTTTTTGCGCGCTGGGGCATACGGCTTATCTACCGAGCAGCGCGTTAAAGTCAGTTTTTCTCCACAGTCACAGATGCAATTTAAAACAATACAGACATACAAATAAGACTCAGCAAAACTATCATCTTCTCTGGGATCAAACTCAACCGGCGGGTGGTCTGACCAATCAAAAATCACCCTCAAAAAATGAAGCTCATATTTGCTGTGTGTCTCCAACACAGGAGAAGATAGAGTGATCAGCGTGATAAAAAACAAACAAACAAACAAAAAATCTATATTCTGAGAATTAAAAAAAAACAAATAAACAAGATGAGGAGAAAAAAACCAAAATGCATTTAAAAAAAGTCAGAATTCTGAGAGTAGAGAAAGAACTTTCCCCTTCAAGTCTTTGGAAAATAAAAAAGTCAGGATAATTTTTTTCTTTCCCCTAGTGGGCAAAATCCTCTCTTATAATAGTACAATGTTGGCTTAACATCACTAAAAAAAACAAAAAAAAACAACAACAACACACAACTACATGATCTAAACATGGAAAATGAACTGGTACTGGTTTTCTATTCTAATTGCACACTGAAGGCACTTTCTACTACAAGCCTCATTATGCCTTTACTTTATGTCTTTCTTCTTACTTACTCGGAATAATCACTGGTTTGGCTTTTCGATCAGTTGTCTTGTCTGTATGTCGTTGATATACAGACTTTGAGGGACCATCGGTCGACTCATTCAAGCTTCTGATTGGTAAACTAACTGCTGTAACTCCTGCTTCTGTTTTCT